CTCACCTCAGCCTCCCAAAGGTGCGGGATTACAGGCTGAGCCACCGAGCCCAGCTTGGAACTTTTATACATGAAGAAACGCGCAGCCAGGGGTGGTGGCTTAAGCCTATAATCCCAGCACTTTGGGAGGCAGAGATGAGAGAATTGCCTGAGTTCAGGGGTTTGAGACCAGCCTGAGCAACATGGCGAGACCTCATCTCTACATTAAATCCAAAAATTAGCTGGGCATGGTGGCGCACGCCTATAGTTCCAGCTACCTGGAAGGCTGAGGCGGGAGGATCACCTAAGCTCTGCAGATAGAGGTTGAGGTAGCTGTGAGCATGCCATTCATCCCAGCCTGGGTGACAGAATGAAACACTGACTCAAAAATATAAATATTCTACACACACACACTTTCTCAACTTTTACATATGTGATGATTAAAACTATACAACTTTATGGTATCTACCCCCAGAGCACAAATAGTGGAGTAAGAAATGGAACCCAGGTACTCAGTATAGCATGGAATAAGCTCAGTACAGCATAGGTGTACCTGGCTCATGCCTGTAATCCCAGCACTTTGGGAGGCAGAGGAAAGAGGACTGCTTAAGTTCAGGGGTTCAAGACCAGTCTGGGCAACTTGGCGAGACTTCGTTTCTACAATAAATAAAAAAATCAGCCAGGCATGTTGGCGCACATCTGTAGCTCCAGCTACTTTGAAGGCTAAGGCAGAAGGATCACCTGAGCCCAGTAGGTGGAGGGTACGGTGGCTGTGAGCGTGTCACTGCACTCCAGCCTGGGTGACAGAGTGAGACTATGAATCTGCACATCCCGACTCACAAACTGTGGAATCCTGGAAAAGTTCCTTAACCTCTCTAATCTGAGTCTCCTCATTTGTAAAATGGGGTTAACATCATCTCACTCACATATAACAGGGCTGCTGTTAGCAATAAATGAGACAATGCAGGTAAAGGGCTTTAAACAGAGGCTGGATTATGGTTAGGGCTCAATAAACAGGAACCTGAAAAGGTAGCTCTTTCCCTAAGCCCTTTTTACTATTTACCTCTCTAAAGCAGAAGCTATTAGCAAACCTAAATTGCCTCTGAGTTTTCAGAGACTGTAATAATGAAACCAGACAAAAGAAAAAGGATCATGAATGAACTGCTATTCCAGATAATAGATCATGCTAATAGCATCATAAAACATAGGTGTAATATTCTGAAGAATAAATCACAGCATGTACACTCTTTGCAAAGAAGTAGAAAAGTGTACCAATCCCCTTACCAGGTTACCCACTACCCTTTTATAACCTGGACTCCACAGTAGAGTCTATCAACCAAGCAGAAAGTGCTGCAGGGGAACAACTCTACTGCCACATGCAAATCACTGCTTTTTTGTAAACCCAACCTTTAATTTTTCAGCTCAAATCTATTTCTGTCATAAAGACTTCACTGATTGCCCCAGCAGACTCAAGAGTTTTTTTCTTGTGCTCCACTGCATTTGTTACATGCTTCCATTATAGCAATTATCCTGTGTAATGGGCTATTTGCATGTCTGTTCACTAGACTGTAAATTGGTAAAGGTCCTGTCATACTCATCTGAATTCTCAGTATATGACACACAGTAGGCTCCATAATTACATATTAAATGATGGATTTCACCTTCTCTTTTAGAAGATAAAACTGCAAAGAAATAGCTGGGGAGACATTAGTAGAAACTTGAATACAAACTAAGGTCTGTCAGGCCAGACCTCTCTTCTTTTTGGAGCTTTGAGGGATGACTTTTCTGCTTCTGAGTTAATTTCTTAAACATACCAAAAAAAAGAATCAGTCCACACAGAATTTCCAGACAACAGATTATAACCTTCCTGAGGAAATGAAACAAGTAAAAAGTTCCTGGGAAGAATGTGAGTTGTTTCATACAAAGTTAACATCAAGGCATGATACTCTGGAAAGTATATTATATTACTGGAAGCTCTGAAGACCTTAAAAGTACAAAGAAAAGCTAAGAAACAAAAATAAATAATGTCTTACATAAAAATTTTAAGTTCCTTTCTTCTCTCCCAGAACTTTTGCTCTTTACCTCAATGAACCCCGATATATGTAACTGTCTCAGACGAGAGCCCATGGTGAACAAACCATAAATAACAACTTCAATGTAGTATTTACCCTTTCCAAAGTGTTTTCAAATATATCTCACTGAACCACAGCCAACTGTAATCACAAAACTTAAAGACAGAAAGGACCTTAGGGATCATTTCCACAACCACTCCACTTAACCAACCAACTAGTACTCAAACACCTCTAGTCTCTAGTGATTAGGAAGTAAAGGGCTACAATGCTGCTTTAAAAATTCCCCTGTGTGCTGATCACCTGTCAGTTTCTCAGTCTCTTTCTCCTACCTTAATGATCTCCATCAGGTAACCAACTTTTTCAACTCATCCCACCACTAAGGGACAGCCTTTGCTTTCCAAATCCACTTCTCTTTTTCTCTGACACTCAACCCCAATCCTCCTCACTCTCCCCACACCCAGCACACAGCAGGGGGCCTTTAAGATTCTGACACCCTCAGAGATCCCACTGGTTCTATCTCTAACAATCAAACCCCCCTCCTATTCCTCCATGCTGTCTCTTTCCATATGCTGTTTCTGTGCAAGACCATAAACACCACTAGCTATCAATGTCCCTTTGGCTACAGAATCTCTTCCCATTTCTTTCTCACCTCTCTCTGCTTCTCAGCCTTGTCCCTTCATTCCTTTCAAACAAATCATCTCCTTCCTGCTACTGATTCCTTCAAGGACAACCGGCAATTCAATATCTCAATTTTAAATGCCTATCAGATAGCTAAAGAGGACATAAACTCTCAAGGAGCTCATCTTCGAGGAAATTCTAAGTCTAGAGATAGAGAAACAGAAATAGAGGATTATTTATTCTTTAAGACTCAGCAACTCTGGGAAGTCTTCCCTAGCCCAAAGTGAACTGGTGCGCTCTTCTCAGTGCCACCATTATACCTCTCATGCAATGACTAGTCTTGTCTGTCTCCCACCAGTAGACTGTGGACTCTTCAAGGAAAGGAACCTAGGCTTCTTCCTAGCACCTAGCCCAGGCCTCAGCACAAAGGTGACAATGTTTACTAAATGAGTGAACGGGTAAATTCCGGTATACAATCATTCATTCATCCATTCGTTCTTCCATTCGTTGACCAAAACTTTACTGAGCACACATTATGTATAAAGACCTAGAATGCAAGGATAAAGAATAAAATAGTTCCTACTTTAAAATAACTCAAAGCTATCATACTTGTAAATTAGCACTCTTTCCCGGTCCATGTCCCCAGCCCCCATCCCAAGCTTAGACAGAGTCCTCTCCCACAGTGGCAGCCTGGCCTTCCCTAGCAGAAATCCACGTCCCTCCAACTCAAACTCTTTCTCAGCCCTTTAGTCCTACCCTAGGACCCCCAAACAAAAATCCTAAAATCTTAACACCCCCACACCCTCTGGCCTCTCTCCCCGTCCTCCACCTCCACTGTTGAGGATACTGCAAGTCTTCTATCCCCAGGGCCGCCTCGAGGTTCCCAAGTCAGAAGTCCCTGATTCCCTGCCCCGCGCACCCGCCCCCCAGTCAGCTCCTTCCCTCTCAGGATCCTTCCCTTCTCTCCTTGGACTCCCCCTCCCCCGAAACCTCACTGCTCCTCCCTTCAGTTTCAGGCTGAGTCTCTCCTCTCCTCATCTCACAACTCCGCTTACCTCATCCAGCTCCCGTTCCCCAGCAGCACCTCCTCCAACCTCCACCTCCACCACTGCCGCCATCTTCGCGGCTCGCCCCCTCCCCCAAGTCCCCGCGCGAGCCAGCTGCTTCCGCCGCTCAAGTGCTTCTAGCCAATCGGCGGTGCAGGATCCAGCAGAGGGGGCGGGGCAGCAAGGAAGGCGGAGACTGTCAGGGACCAAGAGACTATCAACCTGCTGCGCCTTTCGGGACCTGGGAGAGGTGATTCACGTGTCCTTCCAAGTGTAAGCAGCGGAGGGTTGTTGGAAAGTGAGAAACCGGATTCGTATTATTTTTAGTGCAAATATTTAGCCAGTTCTCCCCTTTGGGAAGCCAAAGGGTAAAGTCCCTAAACGGGCAACTTTTGCGACACTCCCTCAGACTGGGCTCCAAGGAGTGAGGCGTGGGAACTATGGACTACATTTCCCGGGCTGCACTGAATCTGACCCGGAAGTTTAAATTTTGCTCTCTCTATTAAGGCGTTCTAGTGAGTGAAAAGATACATACAGATACACGAGAATGTATTTTCCTGGTTGCAGTACCTACCGTCTTGCCTCAGTAGGAGTAGCTTTTCAGAAACAGCGGCTTCTTGAGGCTCCCAGAACACATTCCTGAGCTTCGGAAGGCGGAAGAGTGGCGCCCGGGGTCAGAAGGCGGAGGTCGGAGGGCTGCATTGGCGGGAGAATGGGTTTGTGGTCCACGATCTGAGGCAACGGTGGGTGTTTGGGGTCCATGGTTCCCAGGTGAGGGGCGCTAGGGTTTGTTGATGGGGAAGGGAAATGGCCTGAGGGGAGGGGGTGGCCATGAAGGAAATGGACAGAGCAGCCGGTTCCGAGGAGCCGTGGAAGTAGCCGGCAGCCTAGGCTCCCGAAGCTGAGAACTAAAGAGCCTTGAGGTAGCTCCACGGCCCCAAATCCGGCTTCTTACTTAGGCTGTCATGCCACTTCACACGTCTCGGTACTCTTTCCTACTCCCACATCCTGCGTCCCCAGCTTCTACCCTTACCCGCCTTGTTGTACACCTATTCCCTGTGCCCTGCTCCCATTATGCCCTCGTAACTGATTTTTCAACATCCTGTTCTTTGTACATCTGAACTCGATCCTTGCAAGCCTGCAGCCCTAGCTCACACGCCTCTGGGGTCCTACTGGATCTTTCGAGTTAATAGGACTTGGATCACCTGTGGGCTCACAGAACCCCTAGAATGCCAGTTAACTTTACATTAGGACTGACAGGAAATTACAGAGTAGTATTTACATCATCTACAGGCATCTCATTTACTTAAACTAAAAATAATTAACTTTATTAGGTGAAACAATGCGGAAAATATTATGAACACTGTTCATCGTCCCAAATTGACTTTTGACATTATGGTCTATTTCCTCTTCTTTTTTTTTTTTTTTAAGATAAAATAAAACAGTAAATTTCGGACTTATCTGTTTATAGATACATATATACAGTATACAGCTGTGCAATATGTATAGTATTGTCTCATTTTGGTTTTTATCTTTGTTTAAATTTTGTTTTTAAATGAGCGTAGGTGTTATTTTCTATGTATCATTCTTTTTTTTTCTTTCTTTCTTTGAGTTCGAAGTCTTACTCTGTCACCCAGGCTGGAGTGCAGTGGCACAATCAGAGCTCACCACAGCCTGGACCTCCTGAGCATAGGTGACCCTTCTGCCTCAGCCTTTGGAGTAGTGGGACTACAGGCTCATGCCAACAAACTCAGCTAACTTTTTTTTTTTTTTTTTTTGAGTTGGTGTCTCACCCTGTCACCCAGACTGGAGTGCAGTGGCCGCCCCTGGCCACTGCAGCCTCGACCTGCTGGCCTCTGGCGCTCCTTCTGGCTCAACCTTCCAAGTAGCTGGAACTACAGACGCACACTACCACACCTGGCTAATTTTTTAATTTATTGTAGAGATTGAAGTCTCACCAAGTTGCCCAGGCGGGTCTCTAACTCGCGGGCTCAGGCAATTCACTCACCTCAGCCTCCCAAGGCGCGGGATTACAGGCTGAGCCACCGAGCCTGGCTTCAGCTAACTTTTTAATTTTTATTTCCAACTTTTTAATTTTTATTTATGTAGAGATGAGATCTCACTATGTTGCCCAGGCTGGTCTTGAACTCCTAGGCTCAAGCAGTTCTTTCGCCTCCCAAAGTACTGGGATTACAGGTTTGCACCACCATGCCCAGCAGCCTTCTTTAGCTTAATTCTTTCATACAATACTATTTTTGAGGCCTGTCCATGTTTATGTATATTTATGTCTAATGCACTCCTTTTTAACTGTTATGATAAATAGCATTTCATTTATTCCTCAATTGGTGGACATTAGAGTTTTATGATTTTTGTAATTAGAAATATTGTATGTAGCCGGGCTCGGTGGCTCAGCCTTTAATCCCGCGCCTTTGGGAGGCTGAGGTGAGTGGATTGCCTCAGCCTGCGGGTTCAAGACCCGCCTGGGCAACTTGGCGAGACCTCATCTCTACCATAAATCAAAAATCAGCCAGGTGTGGTAGCGCGCACCTGTAATTCCAGCTACTCAGAAGGCTGAGGCGGAAGGATCACGAGAGCCCAGTGGGTTGAGGTTGTGGTGACCGGGAGCGGCCACTGCACTCCAGTCTGGGTGACGGAGTGAAACTCCAACTCAAAAAAGAAAAAAAAGAAAGAAATATTGTATGTATCTTTTTGTACACATATGAATCCCTCTAGAGCTTGCCTGTTCCAATAAATTAACTACTAGCCACATGTAGCTATTGTATTCTTGAAACGTGTCTAGTCAGAATTGAGATGGACTGACTATGAGGGGACCCATTCCCCCACATTATTGCCAACCATGGCCCGGCTATTATGAGACTTTTAAGTTTTTGCCAGTTCTAGAGGTAAATGGTATTTGCACTATCCTTATGACCAGGGAGACTGAGGGGTTTTTTTTAAATGTAGGTTTTGGGTCATTCAGATGTAATCTAATATGAATTATCTCTTTATATCTTCTCCCCAGTTTTCTGTCAGATTGCTTGTCCTTTTCTTACTGATTTGTAGTTTAAAAAAAAAAAGCCTGGGCACGGTGGCTTATGCCTATAATCCCAGCACTTTGGGAGACCAAGCTGAGAGGATTGCTTGAGCCCATGGGTTCAAGACCAGCCTGGGCAACCTGGCATGACCTCATAATACAATAAATCAAAAAATTAGCTGGGCATGGTTGTGTATGCCTGTAGTTCCAGCTACTTGGAAGGCTAAGGCGGAAAGATCACCTGAGCCCAGCAGGTGGAGGCTGCAGTGGCCATGAGCATGCCAGTGCACTCTGGCCTGAGCGACAGAGTAAGACTCCAAATCAAAACTTAAATTAAATTAAAATTAAAAACAAAAAACTATTTTCTGAATATTGTCCAAACTTACATGTGTTGTAAATACCTTCTTTCAGTTAGTCATTTTCTTCATGTTGTCAAATCAATTTTCTGAGCACCATTTATTTATCATTTTCTGACAGAATCATGATGCTTCTCAATCTTATAATCCTGACAGGTTGTAAGTTCCCATTTATGAGTCAGTTTCTGAAATCTGTTTCTGTTTCTATAGACAATATGTTTTAAATACTGTGACTTCATTGGCTTTTTCAAATGAATTGATGTCCTGCCTCTTTGATCTTTTTTTTTATAATTGTTTTAGTGCTTTGTGGCCCTATATTGGTTAATGAATTTGTCATTTTTGCCAGAAACTTCTGAAATTCTGATTGGAATTATATTGACTTAATAGACTTGCTCTTTCAATGGATATTTATTGATGCCTACTGTGTTTCAGCACATCTCTGAGGCGTGAGAGATGACAACCATGACAAAAATTAATATCCTCAAAGAACTCACTATTTAATGAGGAGGCACACAGAGTAAACAATCCATTACCAAAAAGCAGAAACAGCAGCACTTGAAAGGGCTAGGACGTCTGAAAGAACTTAATCCTTTGAGAACTACAGACAGTTTGAGAGATGATGATCTTAATGGCAAAGAATGTTATATGTCTTAATCAGCACTGTGTATTTAGCACCTAGTACAGTGCCTGGTACCTACTAGACACTCCCCAAGATACTAACTAAATGAAATATCTGAGATTGACATCTTTGGGGTCTCCAAGCCAAGAGTGTGATTTGGGGCCTTGCTAAGGCCGGCATTTATTTGTCACTGATGAGAGATGGTGGAGTTTTTTGCGTCAAATCACAAATATATACCATGAGTATCTCCAAAATAGAGACAATGCCTTATTTATTTTTAGTATTTTGTTATCTCCAATATCTAGCAGAGAGAAGAAAAGAGTGTTTGTTGAATGCTCTATAAGTTCCTGTAGTGGGAATATTCAGCTCTGAGTAATCTGGAGGCCTGAAGAGGTGACTCAGGACTCATCCTTCATTCTTTTCTCTTTGAAGCCTTAGCACCACGTTGGCTGTGTCCTGTGAGGAATGCTTGACATTTAAATGAAATTCACTAAAAGTTTGTTATTGCTGTTGCTATAGTCTACCCCACTTTAAATGCTTTGTGACTGCATGCCCTTTGGAACTCTTTTTTTTTTTTTTTTTGAGTCAGGGTCTCACTCTGTCACCCATGCTGGAGTACAGTGGTATGATCATAGCTCACCACAGCCTCTAACTCTTCTTTTTTTTTTTTTTTGAGTTGGAGTCTCACTCTGCCGCCCAGACTGGAGTGCAGTGGCCGCTTCTGGCCACCGCAGCCTCGACCTGCTGGGCTCTGGCGATCCTTCCGCCTCAGCCTTCCCAGTAGCTAGAACTACAAGCACCCGCTACCACACCCAGCTAATTTTTTGATTTATTGTAGAGATGAGGTCTCCCCAAGTTGCCAGGCGAGTCACAAACCCGCGGGCTCAGGCAATCCACTCACCTCGGCCTCCCAAAGCGCTGGGATTACAGGCTGAGCCACCGAGCCCGGCCGCCTCTAACTCTTGAACTGAAGTGACCCACCCTCCTCAACCTCCCAAGTAGCTGGGACTATAGGCATGCACCACTACGCCTGGCCAATTTTTTTATTTTTTTTATGGAGTCGAGGTCTCACTATGTTGCCCAGGCTTGTCTTAAACTCCTGGGGTCAAGCAATCCTCCAGCCTTGGCCCTCCAAAGTACTGGGATTACAGGTAGTGCCACTGTGCCCAGCCTCGAGCTCAATTGTTATGGTCATTCATTCAGTAGACATTTGTGAATCGGGAATGATATTCTTCTCTCTATTACATTGGGTATACAGAAATGAATCAGACATGAAGCCTGTCTCCAAGAGCTTACAGTTTGTCAAGGGACATAAGACATATACCCATATAATTGTAATGCAAGGCACTCTGTGTTAAATACTAAGTGAGAATTGACAGGATGGAGCTGTCACCTTAAGCTGGTTAAACAGAAGTGACATTGGGCATGAAGATGCATTAGATTTGACAAATGAGAAAGAGAAAGAGCATTCCAAGCAGAAGCAATGGCATGATCAAAACCTTGAAAGCAGGAAAAAAAATTTTTTTGGTCGGGAGGTAGGCAAGAAGACCACTATAAGGCCAGGAATATATCAGGGCCATGGACTCATATTTTCAGGAGCCAAGTGGGTAACAACATGATAATTAACACGTATGAATATTTGAAGAGAGCCCACCTAAAGACACTCAAGACAACTTTAAAACTTTTTTCTAAAATATATTTAAATAAATAAACTTTTTTTGCCTAGGAATTGTTGAAGCAAAATGGTGGATGCATGAGAGTTCAGGACACTAATATGTGTGTTTTTAATATATTTAAACTTTTACATAAAAAGTTTAGCAAAAGACAAAGTACAAATAGCCCCAAAAAAGTACAAATTGATTATTAATTTAAACTTTTTAAGATTAAATTATTAAGCAAAACAATGACAGGTAAAACACTTCTTCTGATGAGAGTGACAGTATGAGATAAAGCAGGAAACAGATCTACACTGTAGACGCTTCAAGGCGACCAAGCTGAATTAATATTTATTAAGCACCTGTCATATAGCAAAGTGCATGCCATATGGTAGGTACTTAAGGTACATACATCAGCAAGCCATTGAAGATTTCTAGTAGAGGAGTAACTTAATGAAAAGTTAATTGAGGAAAATTCATTTTATATGAAAAAGGAATACAAAAGAGTTGTATTCTATATTTAGTTGAACATTTGTTGCCTATCCTTACAATGTGCTGGGCTTTAGGCTTATAAAGGTGAATGATTTTAGGTACACTTCATGCCCTTGGGGGCTCACCTACATACAAATCCAACATCCATATATGAATATATTATGTACTTGCTACTCTGTTGCCTTTTGGTCTCATTCCAGTTATTTCACATTTGTTGGAGTCTTATCAGCTGGTCTAGATCTATTCCCTGCCCGCTACCTGCACCAGGCCCATGTCGGTCATCAGAAATGGACTGGCCAACGACTACAAATAGCTCCTATTATCACAGCATGGCTAGTTTGTTTTTGCTTTATTTTCTTCTCTAGGAGTAACATGAGGATTCTTTCTCTTCTGGAAGCTGACAGGACCAAAACATAAGGATTACCAAAGTGGTGACAGAAGAAATCTTGGAAGAAAGCATTTTTGCCTTGTACTTGATACAACTGCTGGGCCCACCATGGCTCCTGTGAAGATCAGCCACGTGGTATCATTTTCCTCTCAGGTATATTAGCACGCATAACTTTTTTTCTTGATGACTGAAAGGAGTGAAGGAAATAGGAGACTTGGCTCCACTTTCAGGAAATTCCTGATCTAATAGAAGAGACATTGTGCCTTCTCTGGGAGTTCAGAGTCTAAGAGGAGAAACAGTTCTTGCCCTCAGGTTGTTCCCTGAGAAGTGCAGGAAGCATAAAAGAAGTGTTCCCAGAAATTGAAAGTAGAAAAGGAAGTACCTCAGGATTCACACCCATAGTTTGAAGGGAGCTGCCAAAGTTTTAGGCCCAGAATCTGCGTCAGGGTCCCCTAGAAGGGCAATTTGGTCACTCTGCCTTTGAGAGCAGACCAAGACACTCAAGGTAATACCTGAGCTGTGAGGATGTCACCACCACCATCAAATGTGATCTCACGCCTCTTCCCTAAAAGTTCTGTAACATCACAGTTAGAGGTAGATCCTAGGCCGCAAGTCCAGGTCTAATCCAATATGGTAACTCTTAGGGACGTCTCACCCCTTTTTCTGTTGTCATTGCTCTGTCTGTTTACTCCCTCTTCCTTCTCTTCCTCTTCTGTTACCCTGGTCTTTCTCAAGGAGTGCCATTGGCATTTTGGGAGATAAGTCTAAATTTTATAGCAATATTATTTGCATGGTGAAATATTTAGCATTCCTGGCCCCCAGACTCTAATGACAGTATTGCTTCCTAATCATTGTGACAATCAAAAACATCCCCACGTATTTCAAAAAGACCCTTTGAGCTTTTAGAAACTAATATATTCTAAGTGAAATGAAATAAAAATTTTACTTACCTCCCTTACCTGCATGGTCAGCCTAAACATCTTTCTTCATAGACTTTTGAGTCAGTGTCTCACTCTGTTGCCCAGGCTGGAGTGCAATGGTACGATCACAGCTCACTGCAGCCTTGACCTCCTGGGCTCAGACAATCCTTCCCCTCAGCTTCCTGAGTAGCTAGGACTTACAGATACATGCCACAATGCATGGCTAATTTTTTTTTTCCAATGTTCAGTTTCCTTTAATGACCCCCATCTCCCTGAATGGCAGGTGCAGGCAGCTAGGCAATGGCAAGAGAAGTTCACTTGAAGACCTTGCCCTGATTGAAGGCTTTGCCCACATGCTGGAAGGTCCCCTCCCAGGAAAAGTACTCTCACACCAGTGTCTGGGCCTCCTCGCTGCCAGGATCCAGTTTCCGCCATGTATATGACTTGTAGTCCACCTGCCAATCTGGACTCAGCGGAAAGGCAAGCTCCTGGCCTCGAAAGACCCAGACTCCCGAAATGGAGCTGCATTTGTTGGTTCCAAAGAGGATGACACTGGCAAAGGCATTCTTCCTCAGTTTGTCCAATCGCTGGAACATTCCAGTGATGAGGTTGCAACTCATAAAGATCTGAGTGAGCTCTTCAGGGAAGCGGTACTCAGAATACCACAGGGACCAGCCATCCTTATCAAAGTGCTCCCAAAAATATGGCAGTGCCACAGTGTGTGTGTCCTCATTGGAGTACTTGCACTTAAATTCATCCAACACAAAGGTACTCTTGGGCAGGTGAGCAAACGGGTCTTTGGCCTTGGGCTCAGCAGCCAGGGCCTGTTCACATTCGTCCATCTCCTCAGGAGCAGGGACAGCTGCCTTTTTCTCCTTCCGCTCAGCCTGGACCTTCTGCTTCTCTTCCCATGAACCCTTTTCTTTTCGTGGGGTGTCCTTTTTAGGGTGGCTCTCTGCAAACTTTTTAGCATCAAACTGGGCCATCTTCTCACAAAGTTTCACTTCCCCCAAGACAGCACGGAACTGGGGCTGGTTAATGCAGGTGAGGAACCAGCGGTTGGTATTGGGAAAGGCCTGGCGGAAAGAAGGCTCCAGGACTTGCTTATAGAGCCACAACAGGGTGTAGACAACTGTGATGTCAGCCAGTGTCACTCGTTCGCCTACCAGAAAAGTCCTCGTCTTCAAGTGAGCATCCAACAGCCCCAGAATTTGCCTCACCTCCTCCTTTGCATTTTCTTTTTTTTTTTTTTTTTGAGTTGGAGTCTCACTCTGTCGTCCAGACTGGAGTACAGTGGCCGCTCCCGGCCACCGCAGCCTGGACCTGCTGGGCTCCGGCAATCCTCTGCCTCAGCCTTCCAAGTAGCCAGAACTACAGGCATGCGCTACCACGCCCAGCTAGTTTTTGAGTTATTGTGGAGATGAGGTCTCGCTAAGTTGCCCGGGTGGGTCTCAAACCTGCGGGCTCAGGCAATCCACTCACCTCAGCCTCCCAAAGGCACGGGATTACAGGCTGAGCCACTGAGCCCGGCTTCCTTTGCATTTTCGGTGGCCTCTTGTGATGCATGATGGGAAAGTGGGGAACACCCAGGTACTCGCTGGGGACACTATGTCGCTATCAGGAAAGCTCACCCACTGCACCACCTGGGCCACTGCCTCTGGAGTACTTCCATGCAGTTCCTCATTGCTCACATAATAGGCAATGGCATTGCTCTCAAACACACAGAATCCATCGTCACCCTCAAATGCTGGAACCTTGCCAGCAGGAAATTTGCGGAGAAATTCAGGTGTATGGTTCGTTTGGCCAAAGTGGAAGTGGGGTGGCACGGAGAGCACGTGGATCAGAGCCCCGCTGTACTGAGCAGCAATGAGGGCCTTGAAGGCCCTCCAGTTTTCAGGATATGTGTACAGGGTCCCAGCCGCCATGGTGATTCCGCAGAGAAAGGGGTAATTATTTTTTATTTTTTATTTTTTTGTACAAACGGGGATCTCGCTATGTTGCCTAGACTGATCTCAAACACCTGTGCTCAAGCAGTCCTCCTGCCTCAGCCTCCCAAAGTATTGGGATTACAGGTGTAAACCACCATATACAGCTTCTTCATAGACTCAACATTATAAAGTGCTAAAGAACAGCCAGGTATGGTGCCTCATGCCTGTAATCCCAGCACTTTGGGAGGCTGAGGTAGGAGGACTGCTTGAAGCCAGGAGTTTGAGACCAGCCTAAGCAGTATAGTAAGACTTTGTCTCTACATTTTAAAAAATTCTAAAGAAAATTAGCTATTGACCGGGTGTAGTGTCTCGAGCCTGTAATCCCAGCACTTTGGGAGGCTGAGGTGAGCAGATTGCCTGAGCCCACGGGTTCGAGAACATCCTGAACAACTTGGTGAACCCTCATTTCTACATTAAATCAAAAAATTAGCCGGGTGTGGTAGTGTGCCCCTGTAGTTCCAGCTACTTTGAAGACTGAAGCAAAGGATCACCTGAGTCCAGCAGGTCGATGCTGGGATGGCCATGAGCATGCTACTGCGCTCCAGTCAGCCTGGGCGACAGTGAGACCCCAACTAAAAAAAAAAATTAGCTATCTTCTAGCACATGCTTTTCAGACTGTACTCTGTGGGGACCCACTTCTAGAAGTTGAAGAGAGGGAGGCAAAGTTTTGTCTCTAGGCCCCAGCCTGTGCTTTAACCAGAGCTCTGCTTTTATTTGCTGAAAAAAATACTCATACAAGCCAGGCTTGGTGGCTCAGCCTGTAATCCCACGCCTTTGGGAGGCTGAGGTGAGTGCATTGCCTGAGCCTGCGGGTTCGAGACCCGTCTGGGCAGGCAAGACCTCATCTCTACAATAAATCAAAAAATTAGCCAGGCGTAGTAGCATGCACCTGTAATTCCGGCTACTCGGAAGACTAAGGCGGAAGGATCGCCGGAGCCCAGCAGGTCAAGGCTGCGGTGGCCGGGAGCGGCCACTGCACTCCAGTCTGGGCAACAGAGTGAGACTCCAACTCAAAAAAAAAAAAATACTCATACACACACATATATTTCAGTATACAATTTCCATTAAAAGGAAGGTTTTTCTTGCTGAAACAAAAAGAAAGTTTGGCCAGACACAGCAGTATGCATCTGAGGTCTCAACTGCTCAGAAAACTGAGGCAAGAGAGTTATTAAGCCCGGGAGTTCAAGGCCAGCCTGGCAGCATAATGAGACCCCAACTCTGAAAACAAAAGAAAAAACAAGGTCGAAAACCATGAGTCTAGTCTCCTCCCTTTACTTATGGATGAAGAAATTTAAATCCAGAGAGAAAAAGTGGTTTGCTCAAAGCTTCTCTAACAAAAAATTTCTGAATTTGGGTTGGAACTCAGAATTTCTCATTATCACTATTGCTGACTTTGGATAATCACATTATTTTTAAATATCAGTTGTAAACTTAGAATAAAAATCTTTGCCTTTCTTATATTGTAGGATAACTATGAAGATAAATAAATGTCTATGAAAACATCTTATAAATGAAAATAAATAGTATAGTGTGGTGGTTAAGAGCTCTGGTTTCAGAAACTTGGGAATTCTGCTTTGGTTGGTTTTTTGCCCTGTCACCTTTGTTAAGTTTCTCTAAACTTCAGCTTATTGATCTGTTAACTAAAAAGTAAGAATAGTCACTACCTAAGAGTTGTTTTGAGGATTAAATGAGGTAGAAGAAAATGGTATCGGCTGGGGTCGGTGGCTTAGCCTGTAATCCCAGCGCTTTGGGAGGCCGAGGTGAGTGGATTGCCTGAGCCCACGGGTTCGAGATCTGCCCAGGCAACTTGGTTAGACCTCATTTCTACAATAAATCAAAAATTAGCCAGGCGTGGTAACACGCACCTGTAGTTCCAGCTACTTGGAAGGCTGAGGCAGAAGGATCGCCGGAGCCCAGCAGGTCGAGGCTGTGGCACTCCAGTCTGGACAACAGAGTGAGACTCCAACTCAAAAAAAAAGGAAAAAAAAAGAAAATGGTATCACTAGACCACTTAGCACATAAGACACTTCCTATAGACTGCCATCTGGTGCCTTTTCTACCTTGTTAGGATGCCTGGAAACATTTGAGTTTGCAGAGGTCCCTCATTCACAGGCAATCTTCTTCCCTTAGGCTCAGTGTGGTTCCTGATTTTCTCCTGCTTTCTCTGTCTTAGGATCCCAAGTATCCTGTGGAGAACTTGCTGAACCCAGGCAGTCAGACAAGACCTTGGCTCAGCTGCCCTCAGGATAAGAGTGGGCAACTGAAAGTGGAGCTGCAGCTGGAGAGGGCAGTGCCCATTGGCTACATTGATGTGGGTAAGTTTTCTGGGGTCTAGGAACCTCTGAGGGAGGACACAGGAGTGGTAGTCCCCTCTAATAACTCCCCTAGTGTGTTTCACTTCATTCTGCCTCAGCCGCCTTCATGGAATAAGTCCTACCTGGGTATGAGGGGGGACGTGTGCCCCTTGCCTTTGAGGCAGGTCTGTGTGGAGAACTCCAAGGGCTCCGTTCACATAAGACTATAATGTGAGTGGTGCTTCTTGAATTATGCTGCATATCTGCCCTGCTTTGATCTGAGTGGTCTGGGTAAAACCTCAGGACAGTGACATAATTATAATGCCAACAATGGAATCTGTATACTCCTCTAAACAGCAGTGTCAAGAAGATGCTGAAGGGATGAACTGTGCAAGGATATGCCTGGAAGGTTGCATAGAATTTATGTATTGAGACGGTTGACCCTAGAATACTCTGGAATAGAGAAATGTCAGAGACCACTAGTCTCAGCTTTGTCAGGACAGAGAAATGTCAGATTCCCTAGCAAAGAATTTAAAAAGACAGAATTTAACACTGCCTGCAGCAATCTCTTCAGTCAGGGGAAGGTGTCTGGATGGGAGAAACATGGTGAACATATAACATTGTCATGTAGTGGGCTGGGGTCTTATTCTACCTCAGTTATTGGCTCCCTGTGGGATTCTACATGTTGCTGGACTTTTCTGGCTTCCAACTAGCTCTAGAATAGAGGAGAGTCCTCTTCCCACCCTGTTCTCTTGTCTACATTCACCCCATCGCCCTTACCCTTCTCTCAACCTTTTATCCCCAGGTAACTGCGGCTGTGCTTTCCTGCAAATTGATGTGGGTCGTTCTTCCTGGTCCCTGGACAGACCCTTCGTCACCCTGCTCCCTGCAACCATGCTAATGTCCCCAACTGATTCAAAGCAGGGGAAGAACCGCTCAGGGGTCCGCATGTTTAAAGATGGTAAGGTGGGCAAAAGCAGAAAGGAGGGTGCTGGGGTGGTCTTAGATAAAGAGACATATAGTACTGGTGAGGGCCATAAGTGCTGTTAGGTGTAGACTGTTGAGGGAGCCTGTGCAGGGGCTTCATTGTATCTGTGAGAAGAATAGTGTAGTTAATGGGTAGTATGCTTGTGTGTGACGCCTGCATGGTGAGGATGTATGACAGCTGGGGAGATTTATGAACTGTGGTTTATGTTTACACATAATTCATGATTTGGTGGAGCCCAATATAGACACATACTTATTACTATGTTTTTGTTTGTATAAATGTATATAAGGGCCGGGCTCAGTGGCTCAGCCTGTAATCCCAGACTTTGGGAGGTCAAGGCAAGTGAACTGCCTGAACCCGTGGGTTCAAGAACAGCCCGGGCAACTTGGTGAGACCTCATCTCTAAAATAAATAAAAAATTAGCCGGGCATGATAGTACATGCCTATAGTTCCAGCTACTTGGAAGGCTGAGGCAGAAGGATCACCAGAGCCCAGCCGGTTGATGCTGGGGTGGCCGTGAGTGTGCCACTGCACTCTAGCCTGGGCAACAGAGTAAAATTCCAACTCACAAAAAAAATTTTTTTACTGGGCTCAGTGGCTCAGCCTGTCATCCCGCACCTTTGGGAGGCTGAGGTGAGTGGATTGCCTGAGCCCGCGGGTTCAAGACCCGCCTGGGCAGTGAGACCTCATCTCTACAATAAATCAAAAAATCAGCTGGGCGTGGGAGCGCATCCCTGTAATTCTGGCTATTTGGAAGGCTGAGGCGGAAGGATCGCCAGAGCCCGGCAGGTCGAGGCTGCCGGTGGCCGGGAGCGGTCACTGCACTCCAGTCTGGGTGACAGAGTGAGACCCCAACTCAAAAAAAAAAATTTTTTTTTAAGTATTTAAGTGTGGGTTTAGGATAGATGTTTATAAAAGTGATGAAAGGCTATATGATGTTTATAGTTACATAGCATATAGTGTTTGCTGTATTCTCTTTATAGAAACCTCTGTGTTCACTGGACACTGCAAAAGAAGCATTAGGCTTGATTTCTGGCCTCTAGAGACTTAGAGTCTCCTAAGATTTGACTGTGTTTAAATTGGAGATTTTTCTAATATTGTAAAGGAAGAGTGTGTTGGAGGAGCATGTGAAGTGGAGGAGTTGAGCTACTGACTAGTAGTATTGGGAATTGAAGATGTGAAGGGTTTGTGATAATGGAGTATGATACTGTGTGTAGGGCGTGTGGTGGTGTGTGGGAGGTTGAGGTCTCATGGCCCAGAAAGGGTCAGCATACCTCAGCTAATCCTCTGGGCAAGTGGTCTCCCCAGACCCCTCCTGCTAAAATGAGATATTGATGTGGTCCCTGGAGAAGTATAGAGTGAGGAGATACTCATGCTGGGAAGTGTGGAACCATGGCAGAGGAGTGATGATTAGAGGGCAAGGGACTGAATATGAGTGAGCCCTGACTGACTTGCTCGGCATTGCCGTACCCAGAGCGCCAAAGCCTGAGGGGGCATTGATGAAGGACCTCCATTCTTTTGCTAGAGTTTATGTAGTCCCTGTCTTCCGTCCTTTCCCCAATACTGACCTTCTCTTCTCTTTCTCCTGCTCTCTCACTTCCTTTCCTCTGTTTTCTCTTTCTTCCTTGAGATGATTTCCTGGCTCCAGCCTCAGGAGAGTCATGGGATCGACTTCGCCTGACCTGCTCCCAACCCTTCACACGTCATCAGACCTTTGGCCTGGCCTTTCTGCGGGTGCGTTCCTCCCTGGACTCCTTAGATGATTCCATGATGGGTCCTTCAGCCCTTGTGAGCTCTGGACTGAGCCAGGTATGTACGATGATGGCACAAGGACTTAATGTTTTCCCTCCCTTTTTAGGTTTCTGGTTAAGAGGCTGGTGTTTGACTGAGGGATATACATACACACACACACAAATACAAGCATCAATGGCCTCAATACCCTTTCTTTCTTTCTTTTTTTTTTTTTTTAGTTGGAGTCTCACTCTGTTGCCCAGACTGGAATGCAGTGGCCGCTCCCGGCCACCGCAGCTTCGACCTGCTGGGGCTCCGGCGATCCTTCTGCCTCAGCCTTCCAAGTAGCTGGAATAACAGATGCGCGCTACCACACCCAGCTAGTTTTTTTTTTTTGTAGAGATGAGGTCTCACCAAGTTGCCCAGGTGGGTCTTGAACCCGCAGACTCAGGCAATCCACTCACCTCAGCCTCCCAAGGCACGGGATTATAGGCTGAGCCACCGAGCCCGGCTTCAATACCCTTTCTTACAGGTCGGAGTACACTCCATTCCATCCCTTTCTCATATGCAAGTCTTGAATACAAGTGTACACAAAGCTGTTGGTTCATTTGTTCTTTAGCCATAATGAAATTCTTTTGGGATCCAAATTTTTTTTAGTTGGAGTCTCACTCTGTCACCCAGACTGGAGTGCAGTGGTCGCTCCTGGCCACCGCAGCCTCCACCTGCTGGGCTCCGGCAATCCTTCCACCTCAGCCTTCCAAGTAGCTGGAACTACGGGTGTGCGCTACCACACCCAGCTAATTTTTTATTTATTGTAGAGATGAGGTCTCACCAAGTTGCCCAGGCGGGTCTTGAACCCAGGGGCTCAGGCAATCCACTCACCTTGGCCTCCCAAAGTGCTGGGATTATAGGCTGAGCCACCGAGCCCAACCTGGGATCCAAATTTAATCTCATTCTTCACTTCTAGGCTCTTGCAGGGCTATAGCTTTCATCAGACTTTTCCTTTCAGCACCTGAGAGTCCTAAGGCTGTCTTACAGTCCCTCTGTCGTTGTTGTTCCCTGACCTACCTGCCTTACAGAGTTATATCCTTAAATATGTGCTCTGCAGTTTTATTTGTTCCCAAGATTTTCTTCCTGTACAACACACATATACAGGCATACCTTGGACATGTTCTGGACCCAGCTTCAGACTAACACAATAAAGCAAGTGACATACATTTTTTGGTTCTCCAATGTATATAAAAGTTATGCTTATTCTAGTTACATTACATGTCAGTGAAATGTGTGATAGCTTGTGTCTAAATATATATATATTAAATTAAGGCATTATATGTATGTATACATTGGAGACCCAATAAGGCATATATATAATGCCTTAATTTTAAAATACTAAAAAATGACTGGGCATCATGGTAGCTCATGCCTCTAATCCCAGGATTTTGGGAGGCTGAGATCAGAGGATTGCTTGAGCCCAGGAGTTCGAGACCAACCTGAACAATGTAGTAAGACCTTGTCTGTACAAAAAAAAAAAAAATCAAATAATTAGTTAGGTGTGATAACATGCACCTGTAGTCCCAGCTACTCAGGAGGCTGATGAGGAAGGACTGCATGAGCCCAGGAAGTTAAGGCTTCAGTGATCTATCATCACACTACTGTACTACAGCCTGGACAACAGAGTGAGACACTGACTCAAAAAAAAAAACCAAAACACTAAAATATTGGCTGGGCATGGTGGCTCACACCTGACATCCCAGTACTTTGGGAGGCCAAGGCAGGAGGATTGCTTGAGTCCAGAAGTTCAAGACCTCCCTAAGCAACATAGTGATACCTTGTCTCTACAAAAAAAAAATTAAAAATAATCTGAACATAGTAGCATGCACCTGTAGTCCCAGCTACTTGAGAGACTGAGGCAGAAGGATTGCCTGAATCCAGGAGGTCAAGGCTGCAGCAAGCCATGATTGTGCTGCTGTATTCCATTCTGGATGACAGAGTGAGACCCCCAACTCAAAAGAAAAGTTGGGCCGGGCTCGGTGGCTCAGCCTGTAATCCCACACTTTGGGAGGCTGAGGTGAGTGGATTGCCTGAGTCCGTGGTTCGAGACCCACCCCGACAACTTGATGAGCCCTCATATCTACAATAAATCAAAAAATTAGCCGGGCGTGGTAGAACACGCCTGTTGTTCCAGCTACTTAGAAGGCTGAGGCAGAAGGATCCCCGGAGCCCAGCAGGTTGAGGCTGTGGTGGCCGGGAGTGTGCCACTGCACTCCAGTCTGGGCGACAGAGTGAGACCCCAACTAAAAAAATAAATAAATAAATTCTCAGCCAGGTACAGTGACTCAAGTCTGTAATCCAAGCACTTTGGAAGGCTGAGGCAAGAGGATTGCCTGAGTCCAGCTGGGTGACTTGGTGAAACCACATCTCTATAGTAAATCAAAAAATTATCTGAGCATAGTGGCGCACACCTGTGTTTCCAGCTACTTGGAAGGCTGAAGTGGAAGGATCACCTGAGTCCAGTAGGTTGAGGCTGCGGTGGCCGTGAGCATGCCACTGCACTCCAGCCTGGGTGACACAATGAGACTCCGACACACACACACACACACAAAATTCTCACATTGTTTCTTGAGTATATTTAAAGATCTTTTTTTTTTTTTTTTTTTTTTTTGAGTTGGAGTCTCACTCTGTCGCCCAGACTGGAGTGCAGTGGCCGCTCCCGGCCACCGCAGCCTCGACTGCTGGGCTCCAGCAATCCTTCCACCTCAGCCTTCCGAGTAGCCGGAATTACAGGCACACGCTACCACGCACGGCTGATTTTTGATTTATTGTAGAGATGAGGTCTCGCCAAGTTGCCCAGGCGGATCTCGAACCCGTGGGCTCAGGCAGTCCACTCACCTCAGCCTCCCGAGGCACGGGATTACAGGCTGAGCCATCGAGCCCGGCTATTTAAAGATCATTTTAAGAAAATGTGTTTGCTTTCAGGAAAAGCATAATTCACTTTAACAACTTATTCAAGATTCTTCTGATTATGATACAGATAACATACTTGGAAAAAGCACAATAGAATTAAACAGAAATGCTAACAGAGCTCTTAATTTCCCTTCTTTGTGAAAAAAGTGACAATATTTTTGTGTTCCTAAACTGACAATTTTTAAATCATCAGGCTGCTCTTACTACCGCTCCACCAAAAATACATTCAAATTTTCATCCCAGGACAAGAAATAACACAATTCTTCATATGTAACTTATCAGAAATATTAATAGTTTACTTCTTTTAAGTACAAAATACTAAATAACAAAAATTTCCATCTAATTTGGCTACTTCTCACTATGCTTAATCATTTCTAACTTTTGATTTGAAATGATGTGTCACACTCTTCCATTCACTCAAACACCTAGAAATCATTGTAGGGTTATAAATGGTCTAATTTCAATATTGTTGGGTCTCTGGGACTAGAGAGGCCCTAGGAGAGGGAGAGAGATGGAGGAATAACCACTTAACAGAGCGGTCAGAACACATTTATCAGTTAAGTTCAGCATCTTATACAGGCGTAGTTCATGGCATCCTAGAATAGTTACAGCAGTAACATCAAAGATTACTGATCACAGATCACTATAACAGAGGTAATAATAATTAAAAAGTGAGAAATATTGTGAGAATTACCAAAATGTGGCACAGAGACATGAAGTGAGTACATACTATTGGAAAAATGGGACCAATAAACTTGCAAGGTTACAACAAACCTTCAATTTTTAAAAAGACATCCACACCCACGTACAATATCTACGAAGCACAATAAAACAAGATGTACCTGTTTTCTAGTTATTTTTTCTTCTTAAACCCATTCTGACTCCTCTACTCCAGCTTTGTGGTCACACTGATATCTCCACTTATCGTTCTAAGCCATCTTATTTCATCCACAGATATGAACATCTAGTCACACAAAGCTAGAGTCACATAATTTTAGAGATTAAAAAATATTTGGAGACCATCTAGCCCCAGCCATCTCATTTTAAATATATAGAGAAACATATATTCAAAATCATACAGTGGGTCAAAAGAAAGTAAGGACTAGAAATTAGGGCATTACACCACTCTGTTTCCTATGCATACAATACATTTCTTAGAAGTTTCAAACATTTAACAGCCGAAAGAATTCCAATTCACATGAGTGAACCTCACAAGAGTCACTGTTGTTGAGGTTACTGAGAAAAAGAATAGATAGCATCAAGCAGAGAAAATGAAGTTAGAGCAGAGAAAGCAGGAGTAGGTGCTTTTGTAGTGTAGCCTTAGGAGAAACCCGGAGAACTGAGACAAAGTAAAGCTTGGTCTGAGATTTGCTCTTCCATAGAGGAAAGGACAATAATTGTAAGATGACCAATGGAGTCAATTCAGTTGTATTTTACCAGGTTCCAATATTGCTGTGCTAGGAGCTGTCATGAATGGAGCCAGATCCCTGTAATCCTAGCTGTTCAAAAAAATGGACGCTCAGCCAGGGTCGTTGGCTCAGCCTGTAATCCCGTGCTTTGGGAGACTGAGGTGAGTGGATTGCCTGAGCCTGCGAGTTCAAGACCCGCCTGAGCAACTTGGCGAGACCTCATCTCTACAATAAATAAAAAAAATCAACTGGGCATAGTAGCGTGTGCCTGTGATTCCGGCTACTCGGAAGGCTGAGGCGGAAGGATCGCCGGAGCCTAGCAGGTGGAGGCTGCAGTGACCGGGAGCGACCACTGCACTCCAGTTTGGACGACAGAGTGAGACTCCAACTCAAAAAAAAAAAAAAAATTAACTATCCTTACACACCCAGTAGTTACCCTTTCTAGTAGTATAACTCTGACATTCATAAGACAAGGTAAAGACAAAATGAAACCCCAGGAAAAAAAAATTTTTGTTTTGAGTCCGAGTCTTACTCTAGCCCAGGCTGGACTGCAGTGTCACGCTCACAGCCACCACAACCTCAATCTGCTGGGCTCAGGTGATCCTTCCATCTCAGTCTTCCAAGTAGCTGGAATTACAGGCATGCGCTACCATACCTGGCTAATTTTTTTTTATTTATTGTAGAGGTGAGGTCTCACCAAGTTGCCCAGTCTAATCTCAAACCTGTGGGCTCAGGCAATTCTCTCACCTCGGACTCCTAAAATGGAAACCCCGGAAAATTAAACATAATCTTTCAAAATTATTGCTAGGTCCAAGAAGACATTGTAATGGCAACTAAAAAATATTAAATAGTGAATGAGAATGAAAATACTACTTTTCAAGCTTGTAGAATGAATCCAAAATCATGCTTTACAAGAAAGACAATTATCTTTAAAATAGTCTAGCCAAGCACAGTGACTCACATCAGTAACCCCAGCACTTTGGGAGGCAGAGGCAGGAGGATCCCTTGAGGCCACGAGTTTGAGACCAGCTTAGACAATAAAATGAGATCCCATCTCTACAAAAAAAAAAAGAAAGAAAGAAAAAATTAGCTAGGTGGGGTGGCTCACACCTAAAGTCCCAGCTACTTAGGAGGCTGAGGCAGAAGGATCGCATGAGTCCAGAAGTTTGAGACTATGGTTAGTGGTGAACCATGATTGTGCCACTGCATTTCAGCCTGGGTGACAAAGTGAAACTCTGTCTCAAAAAAAGAAAAAGAACCTGTGATAGAATTCATCCATGCTGTGTGAGAAATTGAAAAGAAAAATCTGGTACAGAAAAATCAGCTGAAATTTTTTTTTAAGTTTTAATGTAAGAGGAAATTTGAATAAAAAAGGAAATAGTCAACAATAAAATGAATTTCACTAAAAAATTAAGAAACTAGCATACCATATGAAATCTCTATGCAGAAATGATCTATTGAGAATTTTTGGGGTTTTTTTTTTTGTTGTTGTTGTTGTTGTTTGTTTTTTTGTTTTGTTTTGTTTTTGAGTTGGAGTCTCACTCTGTCGCCCAGACTGGAGTGCAGTGGCCGCTCCCGGCCACCGCAGCCTCGACCTGCCGGGCTCCGGCGATTCTTCCGCCTCAGCCTTCCGAGTAGCCGGAATTACAGGCGTGCGCTACCACGCCCGGCTGATTTTTTGATTTATTGTAGAGATGAGGTCTCGCCAAGTTGCCCAGGCTGGTCTCAAACCCCTGAGCTCAGGCAATCCTCTTTCCTCGGCCTGGGATTACAGATTTGAGCCACCACGCCTGGCTGACAAGATCTGATTCTATCAACCAGGCTGGAGTGTGTGGCACAATTGTGGCTAACTGGATCCTTGAACTACTGGTCAAGCAATCTTCCTGCCCCATCCTGAGTAGCTAGGACTATAGGCATGTACCACTACACCTGACTTTTTTTTTTTTTTTTAATAGATACGGTGTCTCGCTATGTTACTGAGGCTAATTTCGAATTCCTGATTTCAAGCAGTCTTCCCACCTCAGCCTCCCAAAATGCTGATATAGGCATGAGCGACTGTACCAGGCCCCCTAGGAGATTATTGCACATAGACATTTCTGGAGCTAGAAGCAAACAAGTTTTAAAATGCCTATTATAGGATGAGCATAATTTTAGACTTTTTAGGTTCACGCCTGTAATCTCAAAACTTTGGGAGACCTAGGTGGGAGCATTGCTTGAGTCTAGCATTTTGAGATCAGCCTGGGCAGCATAGCAAGACCTCATCTCTGCAAAAATAAAACACTTAACCAGGCGTGATGGTGCATACCTAAGTCCCAGCTACTCAAGAGGCTGAAGTAGGAAGATTGCTTGAGCCCAGGAGTTTGGGGCTGCGATGAGCTATGATTGCACCACTGTATTCCAGCTTATGCGGCAGAGTGAGTCTCTTAAAAAATGGTAATAAAGGCCAGGCTTGGTGGTTCAGCCTGTAATCCCAGCAGTTTGGGAGGCCAAGGCGAGTGGATTGTCTGAGCCTGCGGGTTCGAGATCAACCCGGGCAACTTGGTGAGACCTCACCTGTATAACAAATCAAAAAATTAGCTGGGCATGGTAGCACACACCTGTAGTTCTGGCTACTTAGAAGGCTGAGGCGGAAGGATTGCCGGAGACCAGCAGGTCAATGCCGGGGTGACCATGAGCATCGTCGTGAGCAGTGGCATGCTCGTGGCCACCCCAGCATGGGTGACAGAGTGAGACTCTGACTAAAAAAAAAAAAAAATGATAATAGGCCAGGCGCGGTGGCTCACGCCTATAATCTCAGCACTTTGGGAGGCCGAGGTGAGAGGATTGTCTGAGCCCACAGGTTCGAGACCAACCTGGGCAACTTGGCAAGACCTTATCTCTACAATAAATCAAAAAATTAACTGGGTGTGGTAGTGTGCACCTGTAGTTCCAGCTATTTGGAAGGCTGAGGTGGAGGGATTACCTGACCCCAGTGGATCGAGGCTGCGATGGCCATGAACAACGTGCCACTGCACTCTAGCCTGAGCGACAGAGACTCCAACTCAAAAAAAAAAAAGATAATAAAATACCTATGATATTTAGATATACTAGCTAATGCTTGAGACATGATACCTGTATATGCACACATGCGTACACACGAATTCCAATGATTAAGTTTGCCAGCTCATCCTAGAAAATGTGCTACATACCTCATTGCTGAATATCACTACACTACCTTCAAAGTACTCCCCTTGGAAAGCTATGCACCAATACCAGCACCTAGTCCCCTGTCAAAGCATCAGACCATCAAATGTCTTCCTTTTATCTTTGGGTAAAGACAAATGTCACTGGAGACTAAATCAGGTAAGTAGGGAGGGTGTTCCAATACAGTTATTTGTTCAATGCTGCCAACATAAGCACACAGTGGCAAGTTCGTGGAGCTTAATTGTCAGATTTCAACAAATAACGACAGCTCTGTTAGCCATTCCAGAAAAAGAGTTCCAAAATTGCTTTGACAGGTGGACTGGGTACTAGAATCAGTGCATAGCTTCTCAAGGGAAGTACTTTGAAGGTGACCATAGTGATGTTTAGCAATGAGGTATGTAGCACTTTCTCTAGCAAACTTAATTGTTGGACCTTGTGTACATGTCTCTTTATAGATGACTAGAAACAGTAGCTAAAATTATTAGGTTTTTAGTTGCAGATAAGCTAAATTGTTCACAAAATAAATCATACTGAAAACCAAGCAATATTTTAAAATAATATTTAGAAGAAAATAATAATATAAATGTCCCAAAACAGTTCAGTAGTTTCAGAGTAGGCTCTGGCACTAGGTAGCAGTGTCCCCTGGTGGTGAATCTTGGTATTTCATATTTCTCTGTTCTCAGGGTTCTTCTGATGCTCAGGAGTCCGGTCCCAGCCCCTGGCTGGCTAATCCATCCATTCGGAGGACATTCTTCCCAGATCCCCACACGTACGTACCTGATGGAGTGGAGATGACCTAGCCACTTCTAAGATCTTTCTCATGAAGAGAAAGGCTACCAACTGGCTCACGGGCACACAAGCCCAGCCAGCATTCACCAAACTAATCACATGCTCTAGTCCTAACCCTATGTGTATATCAAACTGGCTTTCTTGGTTAGTTGCCATTCACTTAGAAGAGCAGAATGGGGTCTGTGTTCCTAGTAAAATCAGGCACTCTGTTTTCTTGCAGGGACACCAAGGAAATTTCAGAGCTCAGGAATATCCTAACGCAACTGCAGCCAGGGACTCTGGGGCGTTCAGCCCGCATGGTGCTTTCTGCTGCCCGCCGGGCGTCTCCAGCCAGTGTGTTAAGCTCAAAGAACAGCCATGCAGAACCTGATCCCAATCATCTGGACAGTGAAGGTGAGGCCCCATAAATTACTCCTCACTGGCCCTAGCAATGTCCTTCCTTCCTGAATCTACTACTGCTATACAGGGATGGCTCACAAGTGGGACTTCATGTGGTAGAGAAGACAACTGTCAGTGTCTTGTTACCAGAAGAGAAATAAAATATTGTATAGTAACTGAAAAAGCACTGGCCTAGGAATCTTTACTTTTTGGGCTTCAATTCTCTCGTCTTCAAAGTGAAGTAATTAGGCAGGTGTGGTGGCTCACGCCTGTAATCTCAGCACTTTGGGAGGCCAAGGCCAGAGGACTGCCTGAGCCCATGGATTCGAGACCAGCCTGAGCAACATGGTGAGACTTCATCTCTAAAATAAATCAAAAAAATTTGCTGGGCATAGTGGTACATGCCTGTAGTTCCAGCTACTTGGACGGCTGAAGTGGAAGGATCACCTGAATCCAGCAGGTCAAGGCTGCAGTGCCTTTGATTGTGCCACTACACTCCAGCCTAGGCGACAGAGTGAGACTCCGACTCAAAAGAATAAAAAAGAATGAAGTAGGCCAGGCTCGGTGGCTCAGCCTGTAATCCCAGTACTTTGGGAGGTCGAGACGAGAGGATTGCCTGAGTCCATGGGTTCGAGACCCATCTGGGCAACTTGGCGAGACCTCATCTCTACAGTAAATCAAAAATTAGTCGGGCATGCTAGCATGCCTATAGTTCTGACTACTTGGAAGGCTAAGGCAGAAAGATCGCAGGAGCCCAGCAGGTCAAGGGTGTGGTGGCCAGGAGCATGCCACTGCCCTCCAGCTGGGTGACAAAGTGAGACTCCAACTCAAAAAAAAAAAAGTAATTAAACCAAATAGCATCTAGCCTCTTGTAGAATGTTCTGTGATCATCCCAGAAAGATAATTAAGTCATGGTGGTGATATATGGAGTTTATTGGTAACTAAAGTAGGGGAATAGTGTAGTTTTATCACAGAGAATGAAAGGGTTAAAAGAACAATTTGGAATACTATAAGAAAGGGATTGGCAGTAGTGGGAAACTGCCAGGGAATGAAGGGGCACACCTCATCAACTAGGGTACCTGCATAATGAGCATTTGTATACCTAACTCTGAATTGTACCCCACATTTTTTAAATTAAAATTAAAATTTAAAATTTAAAAAATAAAAAAACAATTTGGAGTTCTACTTTGTACCAGATATATTGCAGGCACTTTCACTAACTTTACCTATAACAGACTTATAAAGTAGATACTGTTATCATCATTTTGCAAAAGAATCTGAGGTTCAGAAAGGTTACATTTTCTGAGTCACAGCTAAAATGGCAGAGCTAGGATTTGAACCCAAAGCTCTTGTATTTTTCACTACTCTAGACATCAAGAAAGAGGAAAACCAATAAGGTTCTAGTTGAAGAGTTAAGAAAATAAGATTGCTCATTGTTCCATTGGAAAAATTTTAGAAAAGCATAAGGTTTATGTCATTTCAAAGGACTAAACAAATTATCGTAATAATGGGTGAGTATGCCATTGGGAGTTACTTTAGAAACTGACTGTCACATAAGGAAAGATGCAGTGCACTATTTTTAAGAGGAGAATAAAAAGGAATTAGTAATTTTTGGTTCCCTACTACAGAACTAGTACTGGAGCTATGAAAGCACTTTGAATTTTATTAAATGCTATACAAAGTGTTTCATAAATTCTGAATAAATAATGGTTGATGGTTTTTATTATCACTCATTTGACACATGTTTATTAAACATCTCTTATGTGCTAGGCTTTGTGTTAGGTGTCAAGGATACCACAGTAATTCTCCTACCTTAGTGGAAAAACACGTGTTCATATCACACAAAGAAATATAAAATTGCCGGGCTCGGTGGCTCAGCCTGTAATCCCGCGCCTTTGGGAGGCTGAGGTGAGTGGATTGCCTGAGCCCGCAGGTTCGAGACCCACCTGAACAACTTGGTGAGACCTCATCTCTACAATAAATCAAAAAATCGGCCGGGCATGGTAGCGCACGCCTGTAATTCCGGCTACTTGGAAGGCTGAGGCGGAAGGATCGCCGGAGCCCAGCAGGTCGAGGCTGCGGTGGGCAGGAGCGGCCACTGCACTCCAGTCTGGGTGACAGAGTGAGACTCCAACTCAAAAAAAAAGAAATATAAAATTAAAACTGTGAAAAGTACTTTCAAGGAAAAGCATAGTAGAACGACCAGATTTAGAGTAGAGAATTCAGGAAAAGTCTCTGTAGGAGTTAGTATTTCATCTAAGACTTGAAGAGTGAGAAAGAATTAGCAGGAAAAAGGAGTAGAAAGAATATTCTTAAAAGAAGGAATATTATATGTGAAGACGCTTCTATTACTGGACTAGATTTAATGAGCATTTCTACCACAGAGCCCAGAGCAGAAGAGCAAGACTCCAAGAATGCTGTGGGCAGGATGAAAAGACGGAAAGTGCAGGACCAGAGGTGAGTAGGTCAGCATAAAGACCCAAGTCACCTCCCCAGACTTTATTGCCCTTTAGCTGTCCTCCCCATTTTGCTTCAGTGAGGGTAGGGAGTATCCTTATGTCTGGGTCTTGACCTCTTAGTCTGGTCCTAAGAATAATGGAGAAAAGATGACCTTATCCACAAGTTGTCAGGTTTGGAACTAGGCAAGGTGGCAACCCTGCAATGAACTATAGTCTGAAGATAGTATACTGCATCTCATGGACTTCAACAAAATTTAAATCATTTCTACTTAAATGGACACTGTCAAGAAAGTAAAAAGATGACCTACAGAATATGGGAGGACATATTTGCATATCATATTTGATAAGGTTCTTGAGTTTAGAATATATAAAGAACCTTTCCAAGTCAACAGTAAATGGGCAAAGGGTCTGAACAGACTTTTCTCCAAAGAAGATATACAAGTGGCCAGTAGTCACATGAGAAGATTCTCAATATCATTAGTCATCAGAGGAATGCAAATGAAAATAACAGTGATTACTTCGCACCTGTTAGGATGGCTGTACTAAAAAAGATGGACGATAACAAATGTTGGGGAAGCTATAGAGAAATTGGAACCCTCACACATTGCTAGTGGGAATGGATAATAGTACAACTGCTTTGGAAGGCAGTTTGGCAGCTTCTCAAAATCCTAATTGTATGACCCAGCAGTTCTATTCCTGGATATATACCCCAAGTAATTTATTTTTTAGTCAGGGTCTCACTGTGTCACCCAGGCTGAAGTGCAGTAGCACCATCATGACTCACCACAACCTTGAACTCCTGGACTCAAGTTATCCTCCCGTCTCAAACTCCTGAGTAGCTGGAACTACAGGCACATGCCATCATGCCCAGCTAATTTTTTAAATTTTTTGTAGAGACGAGGTCTCACTATGTTTCCCAGGCTGGTCTCAAACTCCTAGGATCAAATATTCTTCCTGCCTCAGCCTCCCAAAGTGATGGGATTACAGGTGTGAGTCACTGCACCCAGCCTACTCCAAAGAATTGGTAACAGGTGTCCACATAAAAACTTACAGACAAATGCTCATAGCAGCATCGTTTATAATTGCCAAGAAGTGGAAACAACCCAGGTGTTCATCAGCTGATGATTGGATAAAGTAGGATATATCTATACTACGGAATGTTACATTTAGTCATAAAAAAGAAATATAGTACTGATCCTTGCGACAACATGGCTAAATCTTGAAAACATTATGCGAAGTGTAAGGAGTCAGGACCATGTACAGTGGCTTGTGCCTGTGATTCTAGCATTTTCAGAGGCCTAAACGGGAGGATCATTTGAGGACAGGAGTTCCAGACTAGCCTAGGTAACATATGAGACCGTGTCTCTCCAAAACATTTAAAAGAAAAAAATTAGACAAGTGTGGTGACAGGCTCCTGTAGTCCCAGCTACTGGGGAGGCTGATGGAAGAACCACTTGAGCCCAGAAGTTCAAGATGGTAGTGAGCCATGATTATACCATTGCATTCTAGCTAGAGTGACAGAGCGAGATGTCTTCCCTGTCTCTAAAAAGAAATGAAGTCAGTCACATAAGACCACGTAGCATACGATTTCATTTATATGGAATGTCCAGAATAGGCAAATACATAAAGACAGAAAGTAGATTAATGGTTGCTAGGATCTATGGGTCGGAAGAATGGGGACTGACTGCTAACGGACCTGGGGGTTTCTTTTGGGATGATAAAAATGTTCTACAATTAGATTGTTGTGGTTACACAACATTGTGAATATATTAAAACTTTAAAAAGGTGAAATTTATGGTATGTGCATTATATTCCAATAAAATATAATTAAAAACCTAGGGTCAATAATAGCTCTGTTCTCAGACATTTAAAAGTTAAACATTGTCTCTCAAGTCTGGTATGTCAAGTGGGAAAACCAGGACTCATCCAGGGTTTTAACTATTCCCCATTACTTTTGCCCTCATTCTGGGCTCCATCAGCCCTATGGCTACTTACTGATAGCCTTAACTCTTCTTTCTCACAGGCCTCTGTCCAACTCTAACTCTCAGCCAAACAGAAGGGGAACAGCAAGAGCAGGACAAAGAGAATGCCGACCCCAGGCCCAAAGCAGTGGTGGCCAGCAGAGTGGACAGTGCCCCATTTGTGCAGGTAAAATGCTTGGGCACAGGGAGTTGTATGACAACTAGGTATTTCTTGAGGGAGGAATAGGAGATCTGGGGGTACTGCCAAGAAACATTTGAATTTGGACTCCTAGCCTTTGGCATCTCTGCAGCTCCCAGGTATACAGCTGTACTTTCAGTCAAATGTGGTTCAAGACACGTCTGTGTTGAACACCTGCTCACATTGTGTCAGCTAAGCTGAGGAAGGGACATGGGCCCTGCCCTCAGAAGGGTGAAACCAAACAGTATAAAACACTATCAAAGAGGGCCTAGAATTTTCTTCCTATTTCCTCTAATTCTACTTACTCTTTTTTTTTTAGTTGGAGTCTCACCCTGTCACCCAAGCTGGAATACAGTGGCATGCTGCTCACGGCCACCACAGCCTCGACCTGCTGGGCTCCGGCGATCCTTCTGCCTCAGTCTTCCAATTAGCTGGAACTACAGGCACATGCCACCACGCCCAACTAATTTTGTGATTTATTGTAGAGATGAAGTCTCACCAAGTTGCCCAGGATGGTCTCGAGCCCGTGAGCTCAAGCAATCCTCTCACCTCAGCTTCCCAAAGTGCTGGGACTATAGGCCACCACACCCAGCCTCTACTTACTCTTTACATCTCTGTTCAAATAGCACTTCTTTGCCAAGTTTTCTCTGATCTGCCTAAATCATCTCTCCCACCTGAACTTTTGCAGCATTCTCTGATTCCCTTGGACTCAGCACTTCTCACTTTCTTCTTTGTATCAACATGCCTGGGCAACATCGTGAGTCCTCATCTCTACAAAAAAAGTGAAAAAAATAGTTGATCGTGGTGGTATGCCCCCATAGTCTCAGCTACTCATGAGGCTGAAGTGGGAAGATCACTTGAGTCCAGAAGTTTGAGGCTGCAGTGAGCCATGATCATGATACTGCACACCAGGTTGGGTGACATAGTAAGACAGTTTCTCAAAACAAAACCAAGGGCCAGGCACAGTGATTCAAGCCTGTAATCCCAGCACTTTGGGAGGCCAAGGCAAGAGGATTGCCTGAATCCAGGGTTTCACAACCAGCCTGGGCAACTTGGTGAGACCTCATCTCTACGATAAATCAAAAAATTAGCCAGATATGGTGGTTCATCCCTGTAGTTCCAGCTACTTGGAAGGCTGAGGTGGAAGGGTCGCCTGAGCCCAGCAGGTTGAAGCTAGGGTAGCCGTGAACACATGCCACTGCTCTCCAGCCTGGGCGACAGAGTGAGACTCAGACTCCAAACAGAACAAAACAAAAGAAACACACACAGTAAACGTTTGATGGATACATGATAGTGTCTCAGGTGTAAAACATTTAATCATGGTAAATCTCCTGCAAAAACAGCTGCATCTTGGCAGCAGAAATTCCTTTCAGACTTCTTGGGGTAGCATCCTGCCTGGGAGCAAGCACAGTTTTGTTTACCACCTTCTCTCCCCCTTAGGCTCCTTCAGGATTGAGAGTCTTCCCCTGCACGCTGCCACTTGTGGAGAGACCTCCCCACCTCACCCAGCTTCTCCCTCCTCATCACCATCTTCATCGTCTTCATCCCAGTCTGTACTGTGGGTATCCTCCCCAGAGAGTTCACCACCCATCTGCTGGGTCCAGTGCCCTATCTGCCTGTTGCAGTTCTCAGCAAGAGAAGTAGAAGAACATGCCAGCATGTGTGGGGAGGTCCCTGAGGCATAAGCCATGAGGTCCCGTGGTTTGTAACCCCCACCCTCTAGGACTAAGACTGGGGAGTGGATCTCTTGACAGCTCAGAAGGACTGATGAGGCCTCCCTCCTTCCCTCCACTTGCTCCCTCAGGACTCTGCCTGAGGGCACCTCTGCGCCCAGTCTGATCCCCATTCCCAGTTGTCAAGGCTTCTGTGACCATGGCACCCAGTTCTCCTAAGGACAGCTCTGTTCTTTTCCGCCTTGGAACTCCTGGGCTTTGGGACACCATCTAGAATGTTTTTCCTTCCATGAGTGGTATATTCTCATGTCCTTTTTTGTGAAAGGAAAACCAAGGCCCAGTGAAAAGAAGAACACTGCCTGACAGATAAGATCCTATGGTATACTGGGAGCATGAGTGTGGGTTTTGAGCATGAACCCGCTAAACGGCATCCCATAGACTGTACGCTATCTTTGTAGGTTCCTGTCCTAGGTATAATCAAGTAACGGTACTGCTGTGTAACTTTAAGCAAGTTGTTTATCTTGGGGCCCAGAATTAACCTTTAGTAACTGAGAGAGAAAATCCCCCATCCTCCCACTCACAGAGCTGTTATAGGGACCAAATGGATTAATACTAGGGAATGGTTCTAGTCTAGCCTTGGAACTTTGGGCAAATCCTATTCCTCATCTACACAATGAGGTTATTGGACCAGAGAGTCTCAGAAGTCCCTTCAAGCTATGGTATTCCAAATTCAGTTTCCACCTTCTCTCCCCCCTTTCCCTGAAGATTTCACTGTGTGGCACTAACACCATTTCCCCTGGTCCCCAGGGTACAGGGCTAAGGGGGAGCAGCTGGTCCTGCAAAGGGAGGGCCTAAGGCGGGGTTTTAAATAGGTAGGAAAGAACATGCTAGGCACAGTCAAGGGAGTAGGCTGAGCAGGAAATCAGTCCGGTCCTGGCTAGCATAGGTGGGAGCAACCATGGATCCCCTCACGGTAAGAGACCACCTGCTCCTCTACCTTCCCATATCTTGGTCCCATTTCCAGCTGTGACTGAAACAAAAGATTGGCTCAGAGGGGCAGCAGGGGCATCCTGGCTGCCATGCAGGTAGTGGACATAATCGCATGGGTGGGAGAAAAGCGCCTGGAGCTGTGGGCCTGGGCCCAGAAGAGAAGGAACTATGAGGATGGGGCTGGGGCTAGGCCTGGCAGGAAAGAGGGTCAAGGCAATACCAAGGGGGGAAAATGACCCCCAAAGCAGGGGAGGGCAAAACTGAGGGGTTTAGTGAAGGAGTATGTTGGGTTCCTGCTGGAGTTCTGGTCAGACCCGAGGGGCTTGGCAGAAACCCAGTTCAAAGACCCTTCTCTGTGGACATGTCAGAACCTGCCCTCTGGAGAGGCTCTGGGACTTTCAGAGGGATGAGCAGCTGGGAAGTGAAGTCAACAAGATGGGAGCTGGGTCCTAGACAGATCCGATGTGCCTGCATGTGGGGTTAGGTTCCCAGTGCAACCTGTTCTAACCTACCTTACTCAAGGCACCCACTGACATGGGGCTTCTGTGAGGATGGACACCAAGCTGAGGAGAGGTCCCCCAGTCAGGCCCATTCCCAGCACTTTCCCAACCTGAGAATCTACACAATAAAATGGTGGGTAAATCAGTTTCTGCCAGTGTGTGTTTGGGACAAGGGAGAATATAATGGTGGCTGGGTATAAAGGGTTAAGGACTAGAAGGCAGAAGAGTGAGGGAGGCCCCAAAACAAAGGAGGTTGAGACTCGAGGTCCCACCCTCTCCACTCCTCCATCCAGCCACAGCCTAACTGGACCGAGATCGTGAACAAAAAGCTCAAGTTTCCACCTCCACTCCTGGGTGCCATCCAGGAGGGCCGGCTGGGTCTTGTGCACCAGCTGCTGGAGTCGGGGTCTGAGGCCACAAGCAGTGGGCCAGCTGGGCCCCTGCGAAATGTGGAGGAGGCTGAGGACCGCTCCTGGAGGGAAGCTCTCAACCTAGCCATCCGCCTGGGCCATGAGGCCATCACCGATGTGCTGTTAGCCAATGTCAAGTTTGACTTCCGGCAGATCCATGAAGCCCTGCTGGTGGCCGTGGACACAAACCAGCCAGCAGCAGTGCGTCGCCTGCTGGCCCGGCTAGAACGGGAGAAGGGTCGCAAAGTAGACACTAGGTCCTTCTCACTGGCTTTCTTTGACTCATCAATTGATGGCTCCCGCTTTGCACCTGGTGTCACTCCACTCACCCTGGCCTGCCAGAAGGACCTGTATGAGATTGCGCAGCTGCTCATGGACCAGGGTCACACCATTGCCCGGCCCCACCCAGTCTCCTGTGCCTGCCTTGAGTGCAGCAATGCCCGTCGCTACGACCTGCTGAAGTTCTCCCTGTCCCGCATCAACACCTACCGTGGCATTGCAAGCAGGGCCCACCTCTCACTGGCCAGTGAGGATGCCATGTTGGCTGCCTTCCAGCTCAGCCGCGAGCTCAGGCGCCTCGCACGCAAGGAGCCTGAGTTCAAGGTTGGTTTCCCATACTTCTTCTTGTCCTCAGTATGCCCATCTCTTCTTCCACCAGAGAGCATGGTTGGGCCTATGGTGGCTGTTCTGGGAAGTGGGCAGCAACAGGAAGATAAGGCCTAGTCTCTTCTCAGGAAACCTCTATTTTGGCAGGGAGTAACAGAATCCCACCCTGAGGGGCATCTCATTCCAGTGGCAGAGCAGTCACTCTGGAGGCACTTAGGTTTATGGGGGGAGACACAACCCCCACCCTAGGGGACCTTGGATCTGAGGGAGGAGAGAGAACACAGACAAGCAGTAAAACAGCTAGATAGACCCAGAGATGGCATTCAGAAGAATATGCCTCTTCTGAGTACCTACTGTGTGTTCCCAACCTGGAGCATTGTGCGTAAGGGGACAAGACACTCCCAGGATACTCAACTTCATTCAGTGCCTGTGTGGATAGTGCTAATAGAGCTTCCAAAGCCTAGGAAACAGAGGTCAGGAAGGTATAGCTGTTGTGCTCAAGACTCCTCAGAAGAAGAAATTAAGCTTAGCTATGGAGGTGGGTGATTTAATACAAGTTCAGACAGGCACCATGGCTCACGCCTATCATCCCAGCACTTTGGGAAGCCGGGGTGAGAGGATTGTCTGAGCCCACGGGTTCGAGACCAGCCCAGGCAAATTGGCGAGACCTCATCTCTACAATAAATCAAAAAATTAGCTAGGCGTGGTGGTGCGTGCCTGTAGTTCCAGCTACTTGGTAGGCTGAAGCAAAAGGATTGCCTGCACCCAGCAGGTTGAGGCTGCGGTGGCCATGAGTGTGCCACTGCACTCCAACCTGAGCGACAGAGTGAGACTCCAACTCAAATATATATATATGAGTGAAGAAGAGCAGGGGAGCCGGGCTTGGTGGCTCAGCCTGTAATCCCGTGCCTTGGGAGGCTGAGGTGAGTGGATTGCCTGAGCCCGTGGGTTCGAGACCCGCCTGGGCAACTTGGTGAGACCTCATCTCTACAATAAATCAAAAAATTAGCCGGGCATGGAAGCGCGTGCCTGTAGTTCCAGCTACTTGGAAGGCTGAGGCAGAAGGATCGCCGGAACCCAGCAGATCGAGGCTGTGGTGGCCGGGAGCGGCCACTGCACTCCAGTCTGGGTGACAGAGTGAGACTCCAACTCAAAAAAAAAAAAAAGAGCAGGGGGCATATTTGAGGTAGGGCTGCAGTTCAGTTGAAGGCTCTTGGGTAGCAAAAGTGTACATGATGATAAATGCAGGGGAAAGAGACTGTGCTGGGAGACCTGAGAATGTGTGAAGTGGAACCTAGAGGCAGGGACTAGTCAGGGACCTGGAATATCACCAGTGTAGTTTCTCCATCATTCATCCACTGATGTCTCGCGTGTGTCAAGCCAGACATGTCTTGCGTGGTCTCATCCTCAAGACCACGTTAGTGGGGGGAAATGGACAAGGATATTAAAACAGAAGCCTAAGTCAGGAGGGACCTGTACTATGGGAGCCAGAGAAAGAGGATGCTGTCCACACCTGGGGTTGTGGAGGGGTAGGAGGATGAGAAGCCCCTATTATTGCTCAACCTGGAAAGGGCAGGACTTTTCCTTCGTTCTCACAGTGGCCCAGGAGGGAGCCGTAGCAGCAGTCGTCATCTCCACTTTACAGCAGGGAGGCTGAGGCCTGGAAAAGGGAAGTATCTTGCCCTGTGTGTCATCACCTGAGGACAGTGCTGGGACTCAGACCTAGCCTCCTGAAGGCCTCACCTGGATTCTCTTGAGGGTGAGGTCCCCAGCTAAGCCAGGGGTAGAAAGGATAAAGTTAAACTAAGAACTGCCTTGTTCATTTCTACATCTTCCAAGATTGTCAGGATAGGTCTCACGTAAGGTAGATGCTTAAAAAATTAATTGGGCCGGGCTCAGTGGCTCAGCCTGTAATCCCGCGCCTTTGGGAGGCTGAGGTGAGTGGATTGCCTGAGCCCGCGGGTTCGAGACTCGCCTGGGCAGCAAGACCTCATCTCTACAATAAATAAAAAAATCAGCCGGGCATGGTAGCGCATGCCTGTAATTCCAGCTACTTGGAAGGCTGAGGCGGAAGGATCGCCGGAGCCCAGCAGGTCAAGACTGCGGTGGCCAGGAGCGGCCACTGCACTCCAGTCTGGGTGACAGAGTGAGACTCCAACTCAAAAAAAAAAAAAATTAATTGGATAAGCACATGAAAGGCATAAGGAGTAGGAGAAAAACTGGGACAAGAAATAGAGATTAGAAAAAGAAAACCCAAGGTACGAGAAAGGATGGCAAGGATTGAAGTGACTTAGTGATGAGGTAGAGATAGCACCAGATAAGCAAAGTGACACAGGAAGTACCTCATTATAGCAAGAGGGTGGGTAAGGTGGCAGAGAAGAAAGAAATTGATGATTCAGAGAGACTACATGTAGGAAGTGAGGTGCAAGAGGAGGACAGAGGTGGCCCAGGCCTACATTTTTGGGATGGCTTGGGAGGCTGATTTATTGGGGCTGGGTCCACAGGGTGGTGGACACACACAGACCTGCTTCCCTACAGCCAGAGTACATTGCCCTGGAGTCGCTGAGCCAGGACTATGGCTTTGAGCTGCTGGGCATGTGCCGGAACCAGAGCGAAGTCACTGCGGTGCTCAACGACCTGGGTGAGGACAGCGAGACCGATCCCGAGGCTGAGGCCCTAGGCCAGGCCTTCGAGGAAGGCATCCCCAACCTGGCAAGGCTGCGACTGGCCGTCAACTACAACCAGAAGCGGGTCAGCTGGGCCCTTCCTGTCTTCCTCTCCCTATCCTGATCCCTCGCCCTGCCATCTCTAGGTATCCCCTACTCCAGCCATAAGAGACTCCTTTTCCTGTCCCCAGGACCCTCTTAGACCTTAATTCTGTGCACCCTTCTATCTAAGCCCTTGGTCTTTGTCCCCAGCACTTCCTTCTGACCTTCGATCCTATCCCCTAACCTCTCCCCAGTCCTTAGAAGATTCATTACCCACTAGGACCCCACCTTCAGACCAGGGAATCTGGGTGTAAACTCAGCTGACCTGCTAGGTTACTTTGGTCTAGTCTTTTTCAGTTGTTAGACTTCAGTACCTCACTCTATTAAGCAAGATTAGACTAGATCTCTCAGAACTGAAATATCAAGTGGTTCAATTATCTCCTGTCTCATTAGACCCCCTCCCCCAAGCTGAAGACAGGCTTCCTTTCTAGCTCCTCCTCCCCCATCTCTTACTCTTATCCACTCTTAAATACGTTAACCCACCAGGAGCTTAACCAAAAACTTTCCTTAGCAGGGCTCGGTGGCTCAGCCTGTAATCCCACACCTTGGGAGGCTGAGGTGAGTGAATTACCTGAGCCCGCGGGTTCGAGACCCACCTAGGCAACTTGGTGAGACCTCATCTCTACAATAAATCAAAAATTAGTCAGATGTGGTCGCGCGCCTGTAGTTCCAGCTACTCGGAAGGCTGAGGCGGAAGGATTGCCAGAGCCCAGCAGGTGGAGGCTGCGGTGGCCGGGAGCGGCCACTGCACTCCAGTCTGGGCGACAGAGTGAGACTCCGACTCAAAAACAAAAACAAAAAAACCCAAAAAACGTTCCTTTATAATAGCTCCCCTGGCCCTGCCCCAAACATAGTGGACCCCACTTTCTCTCTTCTCTCTTCCTCAAGACCATGCAGGCTGGTGCCCCACATCTCTGAGAAGACAAAGAACCCTGGCGAGTTCTAGGTCTTAGTTACCCAGTTCTACCCACCACTGCTTGACTTAGATTCAAGAATGCAGGATCCAAAGAGTCCAGGAAAATTTTGAGTTCAGTTTTCCCCTTAAAAGACCTTGGCTTAGAGAGGCATGGGGCCTGCCCATGGTCATACAACAAGTGAGTTGTCTTTCTTCTGAGCTGGCTGGTATGGGGAGAAAAGAAGGATGTTTCAATCTCTATGGCAGGGAAGCAAAGGCTGTGCATCCAACTGGCACCCCCTTGTCCTCCCTGGCCTGTGGCCTCTTCCTCTGCTCACATTCATCTCTGCTTAGTTTGTAGCACACCCCATCTGCCAGCAAGTCCTGTCCTCCATCTGGTGTGGGAACCTGGCTGGTTGGCGTGGAAGCACCACCATCTGGAAGCTCTTTGTTGCCTTCCTCATCTTCCTCACTATGCCCTTCCTCTGCTTTGGCTACTGGCTAGCACCCAAGTCCCAGGTACTAAGAATAAGTGTTTTGTTGAGCACTTTTATTGTATGTCAGGCCCTGAGCTGAGCACTTTGTGAATGTTCCCGTGAAGTAACTTGAAGTGGCCCTGGCAGGCATTGCACTACATTTCTGTTATGTGGAGAAATCTGAGGCACAGGGAAGGGAAGAGCTGTTTTTGTTAAGGGTGTGCAGTAAATAGCAGAGTCAGGATTTAAACCGAGGTCCCTCTGCCTCCAAAACCTGAATCCTGTTGCCAGCTCTGTACTCTTCTAAAGAGAGTCCCGCCCCAACTGCAAATTCTTTGGGAGCCCTTCATTCAGCATGTATGTCCTTGACACCCCGCTGGGAGCCAGGCATTGTGCCTGACACTGGAGATTTAATGAAGAACACCCTGTTCCTATTGACCAGGTGAGGAATAGGGAGGGGGTGTCCCAGGAGGCAAGAACAACATGTGCAAAGGCCCAGGGAAGGGAGAATGGGAAGCAGTAGAGCAACCAAAAGGATTTAAATAATGAGTAGTGGGGAAGTGGACAGGCGTTAGATCTTGCAGACCCTTATAAGCCATGTGAAGCCGGAAGCCACTGTGGGATTAACGACGTGAAGTGAGTGCTCCCTCTGTTTTGTGATTCCAAAAGCCTCCTCTGGGAAGAGTTATGAAAGATGGACTTGGGGGAGGGGCAGGATTTAGGGAGATGGGCAGTGTGTGAGAGAAAGAGCATGTAGAGATGCCCTTCAGGTTCCGGGCCTGGATGACTGGGTGATTTGATGAAACGGGGACACCAGAGGAGAAGAAGCAAGTTGGTATAGAAGGCGATGAATTTATTTTTATTTATTTATTTTGAGTTGGAGTCTCACTCTGTTGTCCAGGCTGGAGTGCAGTGGCATGCTCAGGGCCACCGCAGCCTCGACCTGCTGGCGATCCTTCCGCCTCAGCCTTCCAAGTAGCTGGAACTATAGGTATGCGCCACCATGACTGGCTGATTTTTTGATGAATTGTAGAGACGAGGTCTTGCCATGTTGCCCAAGCCGCTCTTGAATCCGTATCCTCAGGCAATCCTCTTGCTTCAGTCTCCCTAAGTGCTGGGATTACAGGCATAAGCCACCATGTCTGGCTTACTTTTTAACATAGTTGGGTTGGAAGAACCTGTGAGGCCTCCAAGTTACTTTACCTCTATGATTCTGGCTCCCGAAAAAAATGGGCACAGCTTCTCATGACTGTGAGGAAGACAATAAATATGAAAGCAGCCGGGCTCGATGGCTCAGCCTGTAATCCCGCGCCTTTGGGAGGCTGAGGTGAGTGGATTGCCTGAGCCCGTGGGTTCGAGACCCGCCTGGGCAGCGAGACCTTATCTCTACGATAAATCAAAAAATCCAGTCTGGGCGACAGAGTGAGACTCCAACTCAAAAAAAAAAAAAAAAAATGAAAGCATAAGCTCTGATATGTAAATGTCTGAATAAAAAAATATCTGGACTGGACTCAGTGACTCAGCCTGTAATCCCAGCACTTTGGGAGGCCAAGGTGAGTGGATTGCCTGAGACCAGCCCAGGCAACTTGGTGAGACCTTATCTCTACGATAAATCAAAAATTAGCCAGGCATGGTAGCTCACGCCTATAGTTCCGGCTACTTGGAAGGCTGAAGCCGAAGGATTGCTAGAGCCCAGCAGGTCAACACTGGGATGGCTGTGAGCATGCCACAGCACTCCAGCCTGGGCAACAGAAGTGAGATTCAAAAAAAAGTCTGAATAGGGAGTGAGTAAGTCTGAGAAAAGGGGGGCATGAGTGGGCTGAGCCGTCCAGAAGGGCTTCCAGGGGAGAGATGCACAAGACTTTGAGAACCGTGCTCCCTTCCTCAAAGCTGGGCCGCCTACTGAAGATCCCAGTGCTGAAGTTCCTACTTCACTCCGCCTCCTACCTGTGGTTCCTCATCTTCCTGCTGGGAGAGTCCCTGGTCATGGAGACACAACTGAGCACTTTCCACGGCCGCAGTCAGAGTGTCTGGGAGACCTCACTGCACATGGTTTGGGTAACAGGTACGTGTGTTAAGACCCTTTGTGGCTGTCTCCCTCAGGGGTCCCCTTCACTGCTCTTCAGGATAAGCGCCCCAGCAGTGTGAGACTCCCAGTGGGGAGATCCTGCTTCTGTGGATGCCCCAAACATGTATCCAGACCCCTCTGGGTTGTGGCACTCCAAGAAACCCTTTCCTTTTGTTCCTAATCAGGAACTCAGCCCTGCGATAGACTCCCTGAGCAAGGAACTCATTCTTCCCCTTCACGAGCATCCATCGTGACCCACTCTGGAGGTCCCTGTCCTCTCACAAATAAACCACTGGCCCACAGTTCTGGGTGGGAAATTGCCTTGGTGTGTGGGTGTCTGCAAGTACAAGACAACTCTCCGGGAGGTCATGGAATAACAACAACAAAAACCCTCAAATCCTATAGTACATTAAATCCATGATGGGCATAGTTATGATGATGGTGTGCTATGAGGGCCAGAGATGAGGCTTGAGCAGGAGGGTGATATAGACAGAAGGTGCCTGGGCCAAGACTTGTTCTGTAGGAGAAACAGTGTCAAGTGTGTCTGGCCAGTTACCCTGATAAGCAGCTAAGAAACGTATGTGCATTCTTTGGGTTGAGGGCAAATGGGTGTCATCAGTGTGTGGCTGATTTCAGATCTGAGGAATACGGAGAGCCTCATATACCTCGTGTATATTCAGTGCATCATGAATATTTAGTGCCTATCCATCTTTTTCTATGTGTGTTTATACATAGGTTCTACTTTATTGTTCGACACATCACTCAGGGAACTAACTTATCCAAGCTTAACACATACGCTTCACCCATTTCAATGTTCCTCTTTTCTCCTATAGCAGAATCAAATGTTCTCAAACAATTCAGCAAATGTCCTTTTCAATAATTCCCCGAGCTCCACCCAGCCTCTAGCTGGTCAGCTCAGTACATCGGACTGATGGCCCCTTCCTCAACTGTCCTCTCCTCATTGAGCTCTGACATAGTTAGTAAACTCCAAGCCACCAGAATACTAAGTCCACTACTTCTCCCTGTACCAAGCCAGTTGATGATGTCAGAAAAGAAATTTGGACCAGAAAATAAAAACAGCTCAAGAGGAAAAGTTTCTCATTCTATTATTTACTAAACATTTATTGATCTGTGCCAAGTTATGAAACTAATACATGGAGGAAGAAAAGTGTTTTTTTGTTTTGGTCTGGTTTTTGGGATTTTTTAGTGACAAGATCTTGCTGTGTCACCCAGGCTGAAGTGCAATGTCATGATCTTAGCTCATTACGGCCTCCTGGGCTTAAGTGGTTCTCCTGCCTTAGCCTCCCAATTAACTGGGACTACAGATGCATGCCACCAAGCCTGGCTAATTTTTAAATTTTTTTATAAAGATGGTAGCTTACTATTTTACCCAGGCTGGTCTCAAACTTTTGGCTTCAAGTGTTCCTCTTACCTCAGCCTCCAAAAGTACTGGAATTACAAGCATGAGCCATTCCACTTGGCTCAGAAGTCTTATAAACACACTAAACAAAACTCATGTATTCATATGCAATAAATGTATGTTGATGACCTAGTATGAGTGAAGTCATAAGAATACATGGCTAAGCCGGGCTCAGTGGCTTAGCCTGTAATCCCGCGCCTCTGGGAGGCTGAGGTGAGTGGATTGCCTGAGCCCGCGGGTTCAAGACCCGCCTGGGCAGGCGAGACCTCCTCTCTACAATAAATCAAAAAATTAGCCGGGCGTGGTAGCGTGCGCCTGTAATTCCGGCTACTCGGAAGGCTGAGGCGGAAGGATCACCGGAGCCCAGCAGGTAGAGGCTGTGGTGGCCGGGAATGGCCACTGCACTCCAGTCTGGGCGACAGAGTGAGACTCCAACTCAAAAAAAAAAGGGGGAGAAAAAAAAAAAGAAAATATACACAACTGAAAAAAAGAATAAAGATGCTCTCTCTATATCCTAACAAGGAAAAATGTCAGATTTTACTGGTAGGTGAAAAAGCTAAGTGCAGAACAGTGTCAACAATATAGTATCTTTTATGTAAGAAAGATAGGAGTGAGGAATAAAATACCTGTATGTGTTTGCTTCTATTTTCATAAAGAAAATATAAACAAATCAATAAAAATACCAAATGTGAGAGCAATGGGTGAATAGGAATGGGGTAAGAGTGAGTCTTCTTAATGAATGATTTTTTTTTTTTTTGAGTTGGAGTCTCACTCCGTTGCCCAGGCTGGAGTGCAGTGTCATGCTCATGGTCATCCCAGTGTCAACCTGCTGGGCTCCAGCAGTCCTTCCACCTCAGCTTTCCAAGTAACTGGAACTACCAGGCGCGTGCTAATTTTTTATTTATTGTAGAGACAAGGTCTCGCCAAGTTGCCTGGGCTAGTTGCGAACCCATGGGCTCAGGCAATCCACTCACCTTGGCCTCCCAAAGTGCTGGGATTACAGGCTGAGTCACCAAGCCCAGTCAATGTATGATTTTTTTTTTATATTGCCTTGACTTTTGAAACACATTGGAAAAGAAAATACTTGTATCTTAAAGATCTCAAGGATGCTCAAACTTGCCCATTTCCTCAGAATGATGGAGCTATTTGGGGAATTAATCATGGGTTCTATTTTTATAATTCCATTGGTTTCCACGGAATCTTACATTTTACCACCACAATAATAGAAGTCAACTGACAAAACTGTCCATTTGGTTGTATGTTTTGTTACACTAATCCTTCTGCCCCCAGTAATATGCCTACAAATTTCTTATCATATCTGTGCTTTCCTGAGGGTGTGGAGAGGGGTACATTCTCCTTCATTCTCAAACCCAACCTACCATTTAATATGCAGGCTAAAATGTTGAAATTGCTAAAATGAAGATCAGCCAGTGGTGTGCTGGTTTATGACAACTACTTGTTTAAAATCCGGGAGTTTTCCAAGCCATTTGCTAAACCACTGGTAGCTTAAAATCGGCCATGGTGGCTGATACGAGTATGTAAACAACACAATTTCAGCTTGCAATGAGTGCTAAGAATGAAAAACCCAGGGAAATGTGGCAGAAAAGGAATGAAAGGAGGTGCTCACTTATACCAGGTGATCAGACAATGTGGCATTAGAAAGGCATACCTACTTCATTAATAAGACTGAGACCTTCTACTTTTTCTGTTTCTATAAGAACCCTTATAGACGTAGACTGTATCAGGATTTTTTTCTTAAATAGTTAACATATATTGCACAGTTACACATGCAAGGCATGATGTGTTTGCCAGGATTATCTCACTTGTCATCACAACTCCCTGACGTGTGCACCGTGATGTGACGTGTGCACTGTGATGTCCACAGAGAGGACACTGAAGTTCCAAAGATGAGAAACAGCTTACACAAGCCAATGAACTGCAGAGCCAGGTTGAAAACCCACCACCCTATTATTTCGAAAGCTTAGGAAAACACGAAGAAGAAAAATGAAATCACCCATAACTCTAGTTCCTAAAGATGACTACTATTCACATTTTTATCTCACTCATTGGCCTGCTACCGTTTCTCCACCCCAATCCATCTGAGCTCCATGACTCTTCCCTGAGTAACAGACTCACTCTGAAATGATTTTTCTCAGGAGTGTGAAGGTGTAATCTGAAAAGTTCCGCATGGGTTTTAAATGTGGTCTGTCCACTGCATTGTCTTATTCTTCTAATAAATGGCATGGTTTTCAAAGTTTGCATTGTCCGTGATCCGGTGTGAAGAGATTGGATATGTTTGATTGGAGTGACTAATGGAAAGCCTTCCTGCACTCCTGCAACGCTACTGATTCATCTCTCTGGCCAGCCACTAGCTTTACTTTTCTTAAGATGCTTAGGTATTATGGTCACTCTACTATGATCTATATAGTCACAATATGTATGTACCCAGACAGGCTGGCTAGTATTAAAATATACACACATGAACACACACACACACACACACACACACACACACACACACACACACTTTTCTTTTTGGAAGAGCTGGGTCAAAATCAATTTTGATTTTGCTAATCACAATCACTTTTAAAAAGTCACAATCACGCCGGGCTCGGTGGCTCAGCCTGTAATCCCGTGCCTTTGGGAGGCTGGGGTGAGTGGATTGCCTGAGCCCGCGGGTTCGAGATTCGCCTGGGCAGGCGAGACCTCATCTCTACAGTAAATCAAAAAATCAGCCGGGCGTGGTAGTGCATGCCTGTAATTCCGGCTACTTGCAAGGCTGAGG